GCCAAGAAACTTCCTAAAAAAATCAAGATCCAACTTCTAAACAGAAACTTTTTCCAAGCAGCAGGACTCAGCTCAACATCCCATCTGAGGTTCTGAGAAACACTTCGCGTCCCAGCCCCTCTATTAGCTACCACCTACCCAGCCCCAGAACTGCTGAGAACAGGTGACAGCAGGGGTACTAATACTTCCCACTAAGACAGATTTACTTCCTGACAAAAGGAACAAAGTCTCAACCTTCCTGCAATAACCCATGTCCCAACACTGCTGTAGAATCAGGGAAAGGCTGTAGATGACATAGGACAGTATGAAGAGCTCCACTGATTCTTGGAGGGGGTCCCAGATCAGACCTCTGGTTATTTAGTTGTACTCAGATATCCCTGTGACTATAGGTGGGAATTTGGTGTCACCTAAATATGCCCTGTGGGATCACCCCCAACATGTTTTTTTCTTAGCTGCTTCCATGTGTTTATAACTGTTCCTCTAGAGAAGGCCTGGGAAGACTGTAGAAAAAGCAGGAAGTCTCTGCTCTCATCTCAGGCCAAAATCCAATGATTTACAGAAGCCTAAGGAGTACATACCAGCGGGTGTGTGAGTGTCCACACATGCACATGTATGGAAAGTTGATAGTAGCCTGGAGGACTGGGATTTATGATCATTCCAGAGTATGCCAATGAATACAACGTTCACAATAATATTTAGGGCTAGACCAATATATAAGGATTTATGAAATTGTTTAAGGAAAATACAAATATAAAATTTATGAGGGTGTGGGGAAATATATCATTAGAGGAAGGATGCACCATATAAACTTATCAATCATTCAAGGATTTACAGCTATGTACAGGGAACTACTACTAAAAGCAAGGATGAGGGCCATATGAGCCCACCTAATCATACACCTGCTTTTCAGAGAAATCACTGCCAGTGCATCAGTGACTGTGGAAACTTTGCAGTACTCATGCCAAACTGGCTGCCCCAGGTGCAGGAGCCAGGCTCAGAGAGGTTGAGCCACACATTGTGGAAAGCCAAGGGCACCACAAAATATCCCCATCACCTGGAAGGCAGTAGTGAGGAGAGATCCAGATGCTTGAAGGAGTCATTGGCTCCTCTGGACTCCCTGAGGCTCCAAGCAAACTGAAATTGTTCCCACTGTGGGGAACTGGATGCAAGCACAACATCTACACTTCTCTTGTGGCTCTTTCATCTCAACTCCAGACCAATAATATGAACATTTCCCAAGGGGTGATGCTCACCTTTTCTCTCATTAAAGCCAGGAAGTGGCTGCAAGGAAGAAAATATGTACTGATGGAGCAGCTCCCAAACCACAGGTACTGAGGCAGGGCTGCAGTCCAGCATGAGAACTGGAGTAACGTCCCATTACTCTTTATGAGAGGATATTTTTCCATGTGGATTTTTTGGCACATTTGTTGTTTTCCATACTTTGGCAGACAAGTATGGTCCTAATTTAACGAAGCATTTTGTGAGAAACTGAATTATAATAATTCACATTAGCACTTCAGCCAGTTTCACCAATGATGACTCTACAGAAAACAGTCTGTTAAAGCAAAAAGGACTTTAGTCATAAGGAACCATTTCAGAAGAATATCTGTAAAAAATACTTTCAAGAGATTGGGACAATTTATATATTTATGTATATGTATTTGTTTATACAATTCAGCCCATGAATTCTAGAGTCTCTGTGAATGGTCTTTAGATGGGCTGTGTATCAAAAAAAAATTGTTACTAAAGATTGTTCTGTGCATGTTTCAGACATAGTTTCACATGACACAGGAAGTACTAGTCCTAGGTACCCTTGATTCATTATCAATTAGAAGGATTAAGCAGTCTCTACTTGCTTTACTTGCTTCATTAATCATCATTTTAATGATTCAAAAGAAGCCAAAATAGGAGCAAAAAAAGAGAAGTAAAACTGAATTTTAGGGAACAAAAGAAATAGAATAGTTCTGCATACACACACAGGATCAAGTAATTACCATTGTCACATTTTTCAGGAGCAAAATTAGTCTTTAATGGATAAAAATTCTGTGATGGATTAACGTCAATGCTGGGAAATTTCCAGTGCTGGGAACTAATAATTTCTGAATAGCTTTATTCAGTGATGTTGTATAAACAGCCTTCACTGCAGGCACAGCCGTGCAAGAAGAGACATTGAGTTTTCCCAGCTACAGCTGAATTCCCTGGCAGCCAAGGCCAGCTAGCCCTACCAAAAGTATCTTTGTACCTTATGAGAATAGGCCCTTGAAACACCAAAAAATTCTACAGCTCATGGACAGCCTGGTACACATTGCTTGGGGTAACCTTCCCACTCCTGGAGATACCTGAGCAAGCTGGACCTCCTTTGAGCAAGGGTTTAGATGTGAGACTTCCAAAGGTCCCTCCAACCTAGGTTATTCTACAGTTCTTCTGCACCATTTGAAATGTACTGTTAAGGCAGGCAGAATGTTCCTTGGTAATATCATTTTACAGCAACCTGCTGGTATTTCTTTGTGTCTCAAACTCAGCACCTTCTTAGGAGATATATCCCTTGTTTCAGTGCAAAAAAGCTTATCTGAGCTTGAGCTGCCTCTGATGTCTGTATGGCTGTTGCTTCAGCCAGTTTCTTGGGTGTAGCTCCTGCCTGGCAGTTCCAAAGGGTAGGTTTTGCCTCCCCTGTCTTTTGTGATCGGGAAGTCAGAGCCTGGCATCAGGGGGGAAAATCAACAGAGGAAGACAAAAAAATGCAGAAGAGAGGTCGTCTCATTTTAAGACAGCAGGGTTAAGTTGCCACCTGGAGGTGCCTGCCTCCCTCCTCTGCTCACAGAGGCAGCAACAGCTTTTGAACTGGGCTCTGCTTTCCAGGCAGCTGCAATTAGGAGAGGTGAATGCTCACTCTTCAGGCAAAAGAACAGAAAAAAAATGGGTATAAATGGCCATATCTCCCCATGAGAAAAGAGGACTCGGTGCCCTTTCCTAAGTATAAGAAATTTCCTCTTTCTCCCCTTCAGGGCATTAAACATTGGACTTGGCACTAAGAGGAGAAGTAGCAAGAGTCAAGCAGATCATTCCTGGATAATTTCCTTCTCCTTTGTGGACTGTTTCTGTTTTGCTTTCTGTTGCTAGTCTCTGAGAACAAATGTACTGTGTTTTCACCCCATGTGCATAAAGAGAGACATTTGTGGAGCACTCAGTATTAACCAGTTCCTACAAGAGGAGCTTGAACATCTCTTCTCCCAGATGAACCTCTGTGAGCTAAATTATTTGTAGCAAGAGGGCAGTGGTGCTCACAGAAGCAGACACTTAAAAGCAGAGGAGGGCAATAGCATTGTATATACTACCCTGCATATGCATCACTTTCCTTCAGCTGATTGCCAGCCACAACCCATGGGACATCAGTCTTACCATTGCCATTTCACAGAAAAGACAGTGACAGTGAAAAACAGGGAGGGAAAGTAAGCCAATCACAGACTCAGAGCTGACTCCAAAGTCATCATTCAGAGCTGAGTTTGTTGCAAAGTCTCCTCTGCCTTGGGCTGCATTTAACCCTATTCCTCCCACAGTTTAGGATGAAGGGATTTCTACCCATACTTAGCAATGCAAGGTACAAACCATGGACAGATGAGTTAGGAAAGAGCAACAGGAAAATAAGTGAATATGTTGTCTTAAGTGGACTGTACAACATCAAAAGAAGTGTTAAACTTCTTCTTCCAATATGGAATAGCTGATTAAAACAAATGCAAACTGCACACAATGCAATAAAAAACAAATGTTCCATCTTCCACTTCTTCTTACTACAGCTGTTTGTTTTAAACATATAAAGATTAAGGGAACAGTCTTGAATTTAATTAAATCCCAAAAGAACTAATGATATTTATGCATATTAAATTTTTAAAGGCACTTGTGGCGTTTCAGCCAATCATTCACTGGACTGTCATAACATGCCTTCCAAACCTAATTTAAATTAGGAAGAAGAGACCCATGAAAAAAAAAAAGTGCAGACAGTAACCTTTTCACTGCACATATGTTTAAGAGATAAACACCCATCTAGCTTTAAAAGGCAACAAATCTAATAAATGGTCACATCATCATAATTCAACAGTGGAAAAAAATCAATGTTACAAATTTTGGGACTGCATCTCTCAGAAACGTAAATTAAAACATCAGTTCAAACCTACTTTAAAGAGTTTATAAGGCATTGATGTCTTAACACAGAAACTCTCAGATCACTCTAGATGAAGCCAGGGCTTTCCCAGAGTTGTGATGTGGGACCATCTTTGGGGCCATCTTTGGGGCACAGCAGGAAGCCCCACGTTGTGTTTGCTTTTCCCCTTCTCTGTACCATCAGTAAGTCAACAAGTACATTAAGACCTTGGCCTCTGATGAAGAACTCTCAGAGGGAGGAACAAGTTTTCTTGCTCAAGAAAACATCTGATGTGGCCCTGAGTAAGTCTCTGGTCCAAAGCTCCAATCTCTGAACCTTCTCCCTTAGAACCAGGTTGGATGTAAAAGCAGACTTCAATGTTGCAAGGCCTCCTGTTCTTCCACTCTTTAATATTTCCATCTCTGTAAGTTCTCCCCCTTTTGCACTCAACATTTTGATATCCCAGTTCATACATAGAAATCTCTTCCACCTTAAACAATAGATTTCTCCTCCTTGCATCTCATAAACACTAGTCAAAGGTGTTTCTTATTCCATCTACCTTTCAGCATTGCCATGCAGCATCAACCAGAGATAACCTTGAAAGCGGAGTGAAGTACAGCTTCTTGCTAAACAGAAAGCCCCAAATACTTCTTCTCTTACAAGCAATTCTGCTGACTTTCTCAAGTAAGGATTCAGACCTTGTTTAGAAAAGCCCTTCTTTGCTTATGATGAAGCCTGTTTTTATAGTTTATCAATTGTAATGGGAAAAGACCCAACCATTAAGTACTGCTGTGTTGCTGTTTATGAGGTACTCTTCAAACCTTACTTTGCTGATGTGACACAATCTTTGCCAGGCACTTACCTATCAAATACTCCAGCCAGAATTGGTCTGTCTCTGGCTTGTAGGGTCGGTTGAAGTCAATCTGGATTTGGAAAGGCTGTCCCCGACGCACTATCAGCTTGGGGCTGTAATACTTGTCAGTGTGGTGCTGCTGCTTGTTAATCTCATGGGGCTCCTTGAACATATTAATGTCCACAACACGCAGGTAGTCTGGAGAGACATGGAAATGAACAAAGAGGGAAAGGCTCAGTATGTTGGAATGTCACTATTGATATCAACATCATAAGAGGCCTTGTCCTCCCTTTCCCCAGCTTTGCCTCATCAAGGAGACCTGTGCAAGGGAGCATGTTGGATCTGTTTGGGGCTTACATCTTCCCAGCTGAGCAGGGACTTACGGACTGACACTTTTCTGTCTACCTCCCATTTTCACAGAGGCTGCAAGGTTTCTAGTGAATGGCAAAAGCAATTTCAGAAGGGGAAAGCTGCTATGAGTGACAAGCTGAATGTCCCCAGTCAGAGTTCGGCTCCATCTTTCCTTTGGCATCCGCTTTCTCCAAGTCTTGGCCTCTCTGTCACAAGTTCACCAGTGCAATCAGTGGGCCTTTGATATCTGTGGCCTCACATCTCTCTTCCTGCAGACATTCATTTGTAAAATGCAGATTCACAGGGGTTTTGTGACACTTAAACACATAAATGTTTTCAAAGTGGTACTACTGAGTGCTGAAGAGCCTGAGAGGCAGCTAATGATCTTACATTCAGTTGAGAGCTTGGATTGTCTGTATTAAATAAGGTTTTGGTGTACTGTATGTGTCTAGACTCAGCTTCTTAGTACACTTCCACTACTATTAGTGTCTTCTTATGAAAACTAAATATAACATTACAGTATGTAATTATAGGTTAGGGTTACAGGCAAACAGCAGTAGGTATCCATAACATGCATTGGCAAAGCTTTGCTTTCTTCAAATTAAAGCTGTCTAAAGGGTTGTAGCCTACCACTGCTAGGATTTAGTCTGCTCAGCTAATGACCAGTGTGGGGTGGCCCTGGGATAGCAAAGGCACTCACAGTCACCACAAGCTACATGATTGTACCATATCGGGAAACTTCACAAGGGGAGTCTTCTCACACAACGAGCAATTACATGAAAACAAACTGGACATCATTCTTTCACTTACATGCTTGGGCAGATAATCACCAAAACTCTGCCAGGAGGACCATTACTGCTCACCACCAGGAGAGAGGCAGAAGAGTAAAGCTTGATTTGTGGCTCTCAGCTTGTCTTTCCAGGTGCTGACAGTTAGAAACTAGTTAATTTCTGCATTTTTTACTGGCAATGACAGAGCCAAACACATGCCTGGCAAAAAAAGAGGTGCACATTTACAGCAGCTGCTGGAGCTGTGTGTACTCATGATGGTGGGTAATTTGGCTGCTGCTGAGGAGAGTTGGATATTCAAGTTACTGAGGGCTGGATGCAGCTCATTTCACAGAAGCTCAGACAATAGCCTTTCACACTGCTGTTCCTTGAAGGCAGGGAGATCCCACATAGTGACCAGCTCTGGACAAGCAGCAGAACAGCTTTTGGGTGTGTAGCCTCCAGACTGCATTAGCCATGCCCTTCTGCAAGGATGTGTTCAAGACATCAGCAGAGCCCCTCAGGCAGCAGCTCCCCTGGATGCCAGCATGGTCCTTTTGCCCTGGCCAAGCCACCCAGCCTGGGCTCTGGGCAACAGCTAACAGGAGAGGCAGAAACTAAGGTGGTAGGAACAGGTCCTGCTTGTGCATTGACACCATCATCTGCCTAGCCCTGCCCTTTGGGTAACAGAAGAAAAGGAAACTGCCAGAGGACATAGCAAGATAAGGATCTTTTCATGGAAAAGCCCTGGAAAAGGGAACCCAAAACCATCCACTCACTGCTAATCCTAATCTTCTGGAAGGCTGGAATAACCCTGTTCAATGCTGAAGAAAGCTTGAAGTCCCATGGCACTTTTTTTGTTATTCTCCGCTCAATTCATCAAGCTTCTGGAGTAACTTCTGTAAGACCCCCATTGGTTCTAGCATGGGCTGAAGCTACAAACATGGTTTTGTGTGAAACATTGTGTTTTGCTCAAAAATCATTCTCATTGCCCCTCCATGAAGTGGGGTTTGCCTCTCTTTCCCTCCCTGTAAAAGTTACCAATGCTCACTCACAATAATATTGACAAAACTCACAATTAAATTACATGAGGAAGGAATTTCCTGGAGGAAGCTAGAGCAGCGGCAGGGGAGAGTCTCTCCCATGTCTCCCAACCCCTCCCAGGCTGAAAGTCCTGCATGTAAAAGAGCTACATATCTTGGGGCTCTGTGAGGGGTGAAGTTATCAGTAAGCTTAGCTCAGCTTTTCCCTCCTTCAAAGAGGCAAGAGTTTGTTGTGTTTTCATCTTGAGTTCTGAAATCAAAGGCAATAGTGACCCAGCCCTTTCTTTGCCTGTTAACCCCTCCAAGGAACTGTAAGGTTAAGCCATCCTGGGCCACCAGGTGAGTGTCTGCTTCAGTTCATCTCAGGATTTTACATGGCTCCTGTCAAAACATAGCCACACACAGCTGCGGAAAACATATTTAACTCTCAGTCTTAAATGTACATTGAGTTTGCCAAATTAACTTAACCTGTGACCAAACCTGTGTTAATTACAACAATGGCAATTACAGAGGGCAAAACACAAGCAGGGTAATGGGATGTGCTAACACCATCACCAGAGCACAATCAAAAGCAAGAGTCCTGACATTGCTGCACAGTCATTTGTTGGTGAGGGACAGGTGGCCATGCAGAACTCCTTTGAAGTCAGATCCATTTGATGGTCTGCCCATAGCCTACACCAGAGGCAGCAGTCTGATGCTTTCTTAAAGCTTTTGCAACAATAAGATTGCAAGGAAATAAATGAGCACCAGCTTGAGCTGCTTTTTTTAATAACAAGAATAGCCTTCAAACATCAGGCTTTCTTGCAGAAGCAGAAAGGGCTCTGGATTACAAATGGAATAGTGTGAGTTTCCAAAGGAGGTGCCCATCTGCTAAGTGGGGAAGCAAAAATCCCTGGCACATTTCCGAACTTCGCAAAGGAGGGTGTGTGGGGAGCTTGCAGACTGTGGGGCGGCAGGGCTGTGTCCTCCCACCAAGTGGCTGCAAGCACCAGGCCCACTCATAACACATGGTGGTGAGATGAGCTGGCTAGGAAGAGCCATGTGGATGTGGCATAGGCATGTTCATGGAGACACAGGCTTCTTGCTGAAGAAGCACTCAAGGGCCGTGTGTCCTCCTCACTGAGTATCTTCTGCAGCAGGCATCCCACTGACCAGGCTGGGGAGGCAGCTCACTCCAGCTGTGCTTCAGTGGAGTAGAAGTGGATGTCAGCAGAGAGCTAGTCAAGCAGAGGGTTTTACCTCATCCTAGAGTAGTAGCTAAAATAGGTCAAATGAATCACACCCTAAAAATGTCTGTTTCTCTCTGTTGGCTGTCAAGGGAAACGAGAGTGACTAGCTCAGCTGTAGACACCTACACTGCACAGATCAAGGGCAAGATTCAGTTAAATTTAGGCATCTAAATGAAGTGAGCCTGGTATGTAACCTCTTATTATGGCCAGTTGCTGCCACCAGTGTAGCTGAGAGAAGCATACAGATCACACTGGAAGTGCCACCCACTGCCTCTCCAGACTGCCTACGCTCTCACCTCCCCTCACAGTATGGCTCTGGTCTGAGGTGAGGACACTGACATTTAGATGTCTATTGCAGGTGACCCAATCTACCCCAAAGGCTAGAAAAACAACTCAGTTGTAACAACAGAGATAAAAGCATTTGCATGTTCTTTTCAGTGTGATCAGTGAATGAAATGTGGGACCCACTACAAAAAAACATTTGGACAACCCAGAAGGGGAGAGGTGTGTGAGAGAAGGGGGAGAGGTGGCATAGGCAGTCCTCTCTGCAAGGACATGCTTGCAGCACAAGAGCCCTGCCACACTCTGCCACTCCTGCTCTGCCTGCCTCAGACTCTCACTTCATCCCCCAAGCACAAGACTTTAGGGGCTCAGGGGAGGCTCAGCTGCTGAATGTAAGTCCTTTGGGCTATAAACCTTTAACGTGGTTTGACAGGTGACTTGAGTCTCCTACCCCAAAACAGTGTGTTCAGGGACCACGCTGGCATCAGCTGGTGCCACAGGCTGAGATCACATCTGATGTGCACTGAAGCAGTGCTGCAGTCCCTTCCCTTCAGGTCTCTCCTTGCATGTTGTTGCTACAAGCATTGCAGAGCTGAACAGCACAGCAGAGCTCACCCAGCCGTACAAAAAGAGTTTTGCTGTTATGCACAAATTTAATTTTCAACCATACCAGTCCCATAGCCAGCTTTATCCTATGGCCACACAAACTCTTGCTTTGGGCAAGGGCTGTTTTTCTCATCAGTAGCATCACCTTAAGCATATGTTGTGTTCCTGCCTCAACTCACTCAACCTGACATTCCTAAGCTTCCATCACATTTCTGAGAAGTAAGAGGCTCTCGCCCACCAGCACCATGCTTCAATCAGAGCCTGATGTGAAATACATTAAAAAGCAATAGGAATCTTTCTCCTGGTACTGGTGGGCTTTAGCTACAGGCTTCATTCCTTATAAAGTATCCCACACCCTTACACATCTCCAGCTTCTGAGAGCACACTGGGTTTGAAACGGTATCTAGTCAAGACCTGTATCGCATTGCGTTTAACGGTTTAAACATACTTTCCCCAGAGCTACAGAGTTGCTCAAAAAGGTTCAAGCAAGGTTTCTGCAGTCCTAACATGCCATTTTGTTTGCTCAGGCATTTTTTAAAAGAAACATTTTTCAAATAAATGTGTGTGCATTAAAATATGGGGGACATGTGGTCAAGGCACATGGTGAGGATTACAGAAATAATGCTTTGCAATAAAAATCTGAGCTTGCCTCTTAAAATCTCTTTGCCTGCTTCTCAATTTGTATAATGCAGTAATTACTGCTTGTTCAGAC